TCCTGAAAAGGAAGCTTCCAGGAAATAACAAGAGCACCGAAGCAACTCGGCACCTTTCCGACTGCCAGACCGAGAGTACTACTACCGACAATAAGAACTATCAAGAATCTTTCACGCCGCTTGTTGGAAGGAGCATCAGCGCTACCGGACCTGACAACTGTGTCCGCTCCGATTCCCGTGAAAGACCAGGGATCACCACAACAGACTTCCGGCCGTCCCACCCGCAAAGAGCGTTGCTAGGCAGACAGACAAGCAGCGACAGCCACAGACACAACCCTTCGAAAACCAACAGGTGAGGGAGTTGGCAGAACAGGTCAAACTACTGCAACAACAATTGGCAGCCGCCAACGATAAAATTAAACAAATGGAACGCAAACAAGTGCCCGCTAGCACCACTATTACGAACAGTACCGAACAGATCCGTGGCCTGTGTCGCGCAAAATGAAAACACTGCCACGATAGATGTAGACGCGGCCAGGGCACGAAACATAAGGCTGCCGAACCAACAGCCGTAATTACCACCGCAGACCCGAACGTCTCACAAATCAATGATCCAATTGAAAGGCTAGAATTTCTATTCGACAAAATGTCTAGGAAGCAAACAACTCAAAACCAACAGCTCACTGAGAGTATCGGTGCTCTTGGTATGGCTCTCGCTAACCTTACAGCTCGCTTAGATTCACTTCCAACTCTGACCGAGAGTGCAGCTGCAGCCGTAATCACATCACATACATCGTCCTCAACTCCCACGCAGCCCATTGCTAAGAAAAGTCCCAAAATGCCCTCAACCCAATCTATCAAGGCAACGCCATATTCATGAAAAGATGGCCAACGCGACTAGCACGCTCTTCTGGCAGTGGAATTGCAGGAGCTACGGCAACAAGCAGGCAGCTTTACAATTTCACCTCCAATTCGCCGACCAGTCCTCTAATATAATTGCATTACAGAAGACAGGCTACCCTGCGAAACTGTCTGGATGTCGCATTCAACGAATTTACCACTGCCGAAAAGCAACCGACAACTGCCATACTGGTGCAACGCAATCTCACGGCAATTTAACATTACATGTAATATGCAACATAGAACTTCTCGTAGAACTTCTCCCTCACAAACGCTCAGATAGCAGCGTATACGTTTTAAATTTGTATAGTCCATCTAGAGATACTAGTACCCACGTTGCCTCCCTTCTAAGAAAAGTTAGCAGAATACCGGGTCACTCACAGCTGATAATGATGAGTGACTAATGCCAAACATACCGAATGGGGCTACCCCAAATGTGACCGCAAGGGCACTAAACTATGGGAAAGGATTAGGGACTTGGGTCCTACCCTACTCACGCTCTCCGACTGGCCAACCAGGATTGGGAATAGCGTCAGTCGCAACACAGCCATCTACACTTGTTAAAAACGCTTACACAGTTATGTGGGAAAGCACTGAACGACAGTTAGGAAGCGTACCTACTAAAGGCTGCAAAAGAACAAAATTCACTACTAAACACACGAAATGGGGTGTCTTTTGATTCTTGATAGACAAGCGCTTAACCATAACTATCGACGATCTCAATAAGTGGACTACCAATCTCACTAATGATGCTAAACAGGCTACATGCGAAACCCCAATAGAGCGGGACAGCCCCATCCCGGACTCAAAATTTGTGCACCTGTGGGAAGCACAGCCCAGTATACATCACCGATGGCTCCGCCAAAAGCACAATTGAAAGTTGAAACGCTGATTAGCGCAACTTGACAGGGACATCGAGGAGTACTCAAAAAAACTAAGTCAAACACAATGGCATCAGCTATGCGACAGGCTTAACAGTGAGCTAGGAAATAACACCTGGCCGCTTTACAGGCACTTATTGGATCCTGAACAGACTAAAAGCCCGTCGCACAATAAAATGCACCAGCTCGTTTACAAATACACGGGCACCAAGCATAAATTTGTGCAAGAACTGCAAAACAGGTATTTAAACACACAGGCAGACACGTCACAAATGCCTGAATACTCCAGAAATACTAACCATGAGCTAGATCGAGATATAACCGAGGCATAAATTCGTGCTGTTTTGAATAGTACAGTCGAGCCTGCTTATAACAAACCTGAGCCTGACGCGGCATACGTTCGCTGTATCCCAAGTTCGTAGTAAATGAAACACTGCTTTTAAAAAAGTTGGGAGTGAACACACAAACTTTTTTTGCCCAAAAAGTTCGTGATGCATGTCTTTCGAAGAGCAGAAGCGATGAGGGCGGTCTTGAGTTCATTTAAAATGGCAGGGCGCTCGTTCGCCGAGGCCCGTGGCATAAGCTGCATGAGGCATAAGCTGCATGAGGCACTGGCTCCAAAGTTTCGTCGTTCTCGCAATCCGATTCCTCCAAATCGCTCTCGCCACGTACTTCATTCACGATGCCCTTATCCGTGCACGGTTCCGCAGTGTCGGCACCATCATCAGACATGATTAAACCATCGCAACAGATGTCCCACCCATTCTCCCAGGTTGGAGTCGACGACGCGCTGCCACAAATCACTGCCAGAGTGATCCTGTTCGGAAGCTTCAGGCTCGGCATCAGACTCGATGTAGACGAAGTCGGCCTCGCAAAAAACAGTTTCGCGCGCATGTAGCTGTCGCCGCCGCCCACGAAATATTCACCATCTCCACAGCTGAATACCAAGACCCCCGAAGCGGCAAGTTGGCTGCCAGGTAGTCAACAGTTATGAGCAAGCGCTCCACAATGCGGCACCTACTGCGCAGATTACGTTCAAGCCAAGCGGTCACAATTTCGACGTTTTGTTGAGTGGCAGAAAAAAGCGTGCAAGCCCTCCCGTCTGCCATACTGACCAAACACGCACACCAAGAGCAAGCAAGACGCACACACGCGACATGCATGCCAGAACCCATAGAACAGCTCTAGACCTGTTTCTAGTGAGAAAACGAAATTAACTCGAGCCAGCGCGGCTGGTGTCGCGGAGCGATGGAGACGGGCGAAGGGCTTGCACGGGCGAAGGGATCAAAAGAGGAGAGCATATTTGCGAGAGAAGAAGGGCAAGGAGTTGCGATAGACTGAAGAGAGGGGAGGATGCGGCGGGAGGGCGGCGTTGAAAACCAATACACACGGGAAGGAGGCAGGTTGGGTAGCTTGCTTGAAAGGTCTGTGAAACCCACAACTCGCTCCTAGAAAAACTTGAAAGAGTAGTGCCTGCGTGCGCAGAGGTAAAATCACGGCCGCCTGGATTGGTGCGCCTGGCGGTGTTCAAAGAATTGGTGGCCTTGGTCAAAAAATCATTTTGTTGCGCCGGCGGGTTTGCGTGGCCTTACCAACTTTGATATTTCGCGATTTGTTCCGCGCAAATTAACAGCCATTTTCGCGCGTCCGCACGCGTGCGGAGGGCATGCTAAACAGAGTGCGAAGTGAGGAACAAGTCGTCAACATGAAATGAATCGCAAATTATCAGAGTCGGTGGGGTAGTGAACGCACATGCACTAGACGCAGACGATCGAATACAGTCCGTGGCCGACGATGTTGGCAAATGATCTGGTCACTCCAGGCCGGTGACACCAACGACAGTACCAGTGATCAAAAACATGATAGCTGGCCGACTGGTCTTCGAAATATCGGTGGCAGTGTGAAAACAGGGGCCTCGTCTAGCGATGCTGGTTGCTCAGAGTAGTGGCAGGATAAAGGACGGAAGCGTGCGTAGCAAAAAGCGGTCGGGTAGAGCGGCAACTAAATAAAGGGGCGTTTAACAATAACAATGTATGGGCACCTCGCCGATGCCTGATCCATGGTCGAAAGTGGTTTCCCAGGAAGTCGGCAGAGCGCTGACTCCATTCGCTGTAACCCATTAGCGGCGCTCGGAGACGTTCGTTGCAAGTGCAATTTTGTGCCATTGAACCAATGTATATTTTCACTGGTCACACGGATATTGCTCGTCTTAAGCGAAATTTTGTTTTAAGTGGGGCCGTTATATGTGGGCTCGACTGTAATCGTACAACGGCTTCCCCAGGAGATGATAAAATTTCCAACATAATACTGCGTAACCTAGACGATAAGTCTATTATGGCAATTACCGACCTTATGAACAAACATTGGGCGTCTGGGACACTACCGCCAAGTTGGAAACATTTACGAGTAAATTTATTCCCAAGCGGGGCAAGACATTGTCTGGAAAATCTTCGGCCTGTTTCCCTCACATCATCTTTAAGGAAAGTAATGGAACACGCAATTCTACGATGACTAACAGCTTATGCAGAGTTGAGAGACCTCCTCACCCCCCCCCCCCCCCCCCGATGATGGGATTCCGCCAGGAATTATCCACACAGGATATAATGCTGCAACTTCACAATGATATATTAAATCCTGGACACACAGCGGCCACCAGGACCATCCTGGGCCTGGATATCACTAAAGCATTTGATAATGTGTCCCATGCTGCTGTACTTGACAACCTGGCCGTCGGCAGTCGCACTTACAATTATATCGGAACTTTTTTGCATGAACGCACAGCTGAACTAACCATTGGTGACCTGAAAAGCGACAAAATCACCTTTGGAACACTGGGCACTCCACAAGGAGCCATGTTATCACCATTCCTATTTAACATTACCATGCGTGGCCTGCCCGTTCTCTTGGATTAAATCTCACACATTAGGCACTCACTGTATGCTGATGATGTTACCATATGGACCTGGACAGGCTCAGATGGACAAATCTGTGACGCGTTGCAAACAGCCGCCGACACTGTGCAGGAGTACGTAAGGAAAGTGGGCCTTTGTTGTTCTCCCAACAAATTCGAGTGTTATATTCAGTTTCGGTTTTTACATTGTGTTCTTTCACCCCCAGGGGGCGCGTCTGTCCTTTATGTATATATTCGATGTGTTGCGTAATAAACGTCTTTTTGTACGGTGGTGCTGCCGGTGCTTCTTACGTCTTTCGCAAACACCACATTGGCGACAAGGATGGGATAAACACGTCAAGCTACCTTCGGCATCGAGTGTCGTCCGGGTCCGCCCCGCCATGAGTTTCTCCGGCCTTGCTCCGCCGCCGCCGTTCCTCCCGACGCCCGGCCGGCCGTCACTTCCATGGGAGGAGTGGGAGCAGACCTTAACAGTCTACCTTCTAGCGTCCGGAGCAGCTGAGTTCCCACCAGCGCGACGCAAGGCCATTCTTCTCCATTGTTTGGGGGCAGAAGGGCAGCGTGTTTACCGGACTTTACCTGCAGGGTCAAATGCCGCAGCACCAGCAAGCGCCGCAGCACCGGAAGTACAAGAGAAGCCTCCTGCGGCCGCTACTGACGAGTACGAGGCTGCACTCATTGCCTTACGGCAGCAGTTTTCCACGTCGGGTAACGTCGTCGTCGAGCGTCATCGTTTCCACCGCCGCAGCCAACACGCAGGCGAGTCCGTTCATCACTTTGTTGCTGCTTTACGGGAGCTCGTTTCGCATTGTTCGTTCGCTTCACAAGATGATGCTCTGCGGGACCGATTTGTTGCCGGCGTTGCTTCCAACCGCGTACGTGAACGGTTGCTGCTCGAGGGTTCCTCCCTTTCGTTCGAGAGCGCAGTGCGGATCGCTCTTCAGTTTGAGCAAGCAGCTGAAGAGCTGAAAGAATTTTTGCTTCGGCCGAGCCTGTTTCTGTACGGCGTCCTTCCCAGTATTCGCATTCTTCGCGAAAATTCGATTTCCAGCCAAAAGCGCATTTTCAGCAAAACTCTCCAAGCGCTAGCGGTTCGCGTGCGCCGCAGGAGCCCCGCCCCCCTCGGCGAGACAGAGATAGCCGGTCCATTTCACCACACTGTTTCCGATGCGGCTCGCGGAATCACCGCGCATCAGCGTCACAGTGCCCTGCGCAGGGAAAGAAGTGTTTGTTTTGTGGTATCAAGGGCCACTTTCAGAAAGTATGCAACCGCAAGCGTCAAATGCAAAGCAGGATTCGTGAAGTTGGCATCGATGACGATGCTTTGTCAGGGGGAAGTTCTGAGCAAGTTTTGACTGTGCAGCATCCCACTCCCAGCGCAATTTACATACAAGTACGCGTAGCGGATGTCAAGTTGTCATTCCTTGTTGACTCAGGGTCGTCTGTTTCAATTCTATCAGAGTAAGAATTTCACCAACATTTTCAAAGCGGTTTGCTCCTGCCAGCTCCGCATGTCACTTTGTTTGACTATTCGAAGCGCCCAATTTCCGTGCTAGGCTGTTTCCAGGCAGACGTTCAGTTTAAAGGGCACTCTGCCCCACTTCTTTTCTACATCGTTCGCCAAGGAACTTGTCTGATTGGCCTTGACGGCATTAAGGTCCTAAATCTTCGAATACAGGGCTCCACTCTTGAGTGCCTGCACACGTCCGTTGCCCCGCCGCCGCGTGTTAATGACCCGACACCTTGTCACATTCCGATGCAGTCAATAGAGTAACCCAGGCAAGCAAACCTTCCGCCAGCCTTGGAACACGACTTCGGTTCACTTTTCAGTCCCGAGTTGGGTCTTGCTAAGCGGTTCACACATCGTGTCAAGATTCGGCAAGGCGTGCAGCCGGTATCTTCGAAGCTGCGCCGTCTTCCATATTCACTTCGGAAACCAGTGTCAAATGAACTTCACAGGTTGCCGAGCCTTGACATCATCGAACGCATCGATGCTTCTGAATGGGTTTTGCCCATTGTTGTCGTTGACAAGAAAGATGGCACCATCAGAATTTGTGTTGACCTCCAGGAGCCTAACAAGGCTATTGTACCAGACAGCTTCCCGTTGCCTCATACAGAGGAACTCCTTCATTCCTTGGTAGGCGCGACACACTTCTCAAAACTTGACTTGGCTTCTGCCTACCATCAGGTTCTTTTGCACCCTGACAGCAGGGACCTGACAGCCTTCATCACGCATGAAGGACTTTTTCGGTTCAAGAGAGTTTGCTTTGGGTTAGCTTCTGCCCCAGCGGCATTTCAGAAAATGATGGCCACAATTCTGGATGGCTGTCCCTGGTGTGTTGTTCTACATTGATGACGTCATAGTCTTTGGGAAAAGTGCAGAAGAACATCTTTTGAACCTAACAAAGGTCTTGCAGAAAGTCAAGTACGCAGGCCTGAAATTGAACGACAAATGCCTCTTCGACGTTCCAGAACTTTCTTTCCTAGGGCATAAGGTCACTGCACAAGGTATCTCGCCGCTTCCAGAGAAAGTAGACTCGGTAGTTAACACTCCAGTGCCAACAGATGTTGCTGCCCTCCGTTCATTCCTGGGTCTTGTAGAATACTATTCCAAGTTTGTTCCCCGCTTGGCCCAGCCTATGCCGGTCGAGCCTATGCGCGTTCTGCTTCGCAAGAATGAGCCATTCATCTGGTCAGCCAAAGAAGACAGCAGTTTCCGGAGGGTCAAGGAAATGCTTTCTTCAAGTACAGTTCTCCACATGTTCGATCCATCACTTCCAGTCATCGTGTCGACCGACGCTTCTGACTGTGGGCTGGGAGCCGTTCTGCAGCAGCAAAATGGCCATGAGCTCCGCACAGTGGCTTTCGCGTCTCGTACCTTGTCACCAGCGGAAAGAAAGTACTCGGTCGGCGAACGCGAAGCGTTGGCATGCATTTGAGCGTACGAACGATGGCACACTTACCTTTGGGGTCACCATTTCAAGATTCGAAAGGACCATCAGGCGTTGGTATCGTTGCTGTCTTCGCAAGGACGTGGCAGAAGGCCACTTCGAATCGCACGCTGGAATGCCCGACTCCTATGCTACAATTTCACTGTCGAGTACTGCAAGGGGTCCACCAACACAGTGGCAGATGCTCTTTCTCGGCTGCCAGCTCCTGCCGCGCAGGCACAGCTGGCCAAGGATGAAGAAATTGTGTCGTTGGTCGAGTCGGCTTGCATGACGAAGGAAGAATTCAAGCAAGCCGTCCTCAACGATGGTTGTCTGCAAACGGTCAAGTAGTTCGTGCTCGGTTCTTCGCCACCACAAAAGTCCATACCAGAGGAGGCAAAACCTTTCTACTCTGTGCGCGAAGAACTTTCTGTTGTTGATGACCTTCTACTGCGCGCAGAACGCCTCGTTGTTCCGTCCTCATTCACGGCTCAGTTCATCGCCGTTGCCCACGAGGCGCATCCGGGCATCACGCGCACAAAGGCGCGACTGTGATCTATTCTGGTGGCCACGAATGGACAAGCAAGCTGAATCTGCCGTGAAAAACTGTCACATCTGCCTGGAGGCAGATAAGTCTGCCAAAACATCGCCAGCGCCATTGCAGCCTATTGACTGGCCTGAAAGGCCATGGCAGAAACTGGGCCTAGACATTGTTGGCCCATTGGAACATGCACCTCACAATAGCCAATTTGCTATAACACTGGTCGATTACCATTCCAAATGGCCAGAGATATATTTCTGCAGCGAAGTGGCCACAAGCACCGTGAGAGACTTCTTAACCAGTGTTTTTGCCCGTGAAGGATACCCGGAAGAGATTGTTTGCGACAATGGCCGCAGTTCACTTCACGTGAATTTGTAACCTTTCTTCAAAACCGAGCCATCAAGCTGTCTCATTCGTCTGTATATTACCCCCAGGCGAATGGGCAAGTCGAGAGGTTCAATCAAACTCTGAAGAACTTCATCCAGGTTTCACTCCTCGAAAGGAGACCTATCCAACAAGCAGTTACGGACTACCTCTCTATTTACCGCTGTACTCCACAGGCTACTACTGGAGTTGCCCCAGCAGTACTGCTGCATGGGCGAATGCCCCGAACCAGATTGGATGTTGTGGGGTTTTCGGCACCAGCGTTTGCAAAAGACCCAGCAAAGGAACTGGCACGACTGCGCCAAAAGGTCCGGCTTCAACAGCAAAGCAGTAAGGAGTACACGGACCGCAGGAGAGCTGCTAAGCAGCCAAAGATAGCTGTGGGTAATTTCGTTCGTACCAAGAAGCCGTCCGTTCGCTTCAAGGGGGATCGCTCCTTTTCCTCGCCAACTGAGGTGTTAGGGAGGAGGGGACCTGCCTCTTTCCGACTTGCAGACGGCCGCACATGGAACGCCTCCAAGCTTTCCCTGGTTCCTGAGAGGGGCACGAGTCCACCATACCAACGTTCGGAGCTACCTCCGCCACAGCTTCCGGTTCAAGTGCCGCAGCCTGCCCTGCCGCCGCCACCTTCTCCTGGGTCGCAGCCGCCGCCTCCTGGCGTACTGCAGTCTGCCGTACCGCAGTCGCCTGCTCCTGATCCGCAGCTGCCTGTACCGGAGCCTGCCATGCTGCAGCCGCCTTCTCCTGGGCCGCAATCGCGGTCTCCTGGCGTACTACAGAGCTCTACAAGCTCATTACCATCTCCGGCCGTGCAGCATCCCCATCGGCTGTCCCAAGAGCGCCGGCCACCAGTCTGGCTCAAGGACTATCAGACCCACTAGTTGCCTGTGTGTATAGCACAGTGTGTATGTAGTGTAAATATGTATTTGTATACAGCGTGTAAAATGTACAGTGCATGCATAGGGGTTTCTTACTAACACTTACTAATAACTAATCACTACATATAAGGGAAGGAGTATGTTATATTCAGTTTCGGTTTTTACTTTGTGTTCTTTCACCCCCAGAGGGCGCGTCTGTCCTTTATGTATATATTCGATATGTTGCGTAATAAACGTCTTTTTGTACGGTGGTGCTGCCGGTGCTTCTTACATCTCTTCGCAAACACCACACCGAGCTCTTAGTAATTAGAACCAAAAACAAGAAGGATGACCCCTACAGTGGAGCGCGCTCCGCAATCGATATCACAGTAAATGGGAACGTTGTCCCCCCTGTTCGCACAGTCAGAGATTTAGGAACGCTCATCCAGCATAACATTTATAACACAGAAGCTATCAACAAGTTACAGGCATCCGTACAGCAAATGACAAGGCTTCTAAGGGGAGTGGCAACGAAAAATCAGGGAATGAAGGAATCCGACCTATGCAAGTTAATCCACGCTTTTGTAATCAGTCGAGTCACCTACTTGTTCCCCTATTACTAACTCAAAAAGAATGGCGTGGAAAAACTAAACTCCCTAATTAGAGAAACATATAAGTGTGCCCTAGGACTTCCCAGATACGCAAGCACAGAAAAACTACTGCGCCTCGGTATCCACAACACAGTGGAGAAACTAAAACTAATAGAGGGGCATTTAACGGCGCAAGAAGAAAGGCTCTTACGAACCAAAGCAGACTTGCACATACTCAACCGTCTCAGACGACGCACTTGTTGCACGCTCAACAACAAGGTTTTCCTGGCAGCTGCAACTCGCGCAGACATTATAATTAAACCCCTGCCCAAAAATATTCCGGCAGGAATACATGACGAGAGACGAAACGCAAGAGCAGAAAACATCGCAAAACAATTTCAGGATCGCCTGAACGTTCTGTATGTTGACGCCGCTTGACAAGCGAGAGACCGTTACACCATATGCGAGGTGACCGGCAAAGGGGAACTTATTACTGCAGCCACCGTAAAAACGGCCTCGGCATTTAGAGGCAGAAGATGCCGCGATCGTGCTGGCCACCTCAATTCCGGCTATCAATTCCATCCTGAGTGATTTGGAAAGAGCGATCATGAAGTTTACCACTGGCTGTGTTGGGCTGATCGCGGCCAACATTATCAAAAATAAGAAACGAGACAATAAAATACAACTTATAGGGGCCCGCTCAAGCAAGCAATCCAGGGAATGAGACGGCCCATCGCTTAGCCCGAGGTTTAATCAACCGGGACATGGACCCCTCCACCCTGGACTTCCCGCAGGAAGGGATCACCACATATAACGAAATTACAGTCTATTATCGAGAGAATCGCAAGACATACGTGGCTCCGCATGCAGATATGTCAAGGAAACAGGCCAGGATCTGGAGGCAAATCCAAACAGAGTATTTTCCGAGCTCTCATCGGCTGTCTAAAGTTTATCCAGAAGAGATTACACCAAACTGCTGACACTGCAGCTGCATGAAAGCTACCCACAACCACATCCTTTGGGAATGTGAGGGTAACCCCCCACCTAGAACAATACTGCCAGCTTCCTCTCTCGAGGCGTGGGAGTCGCTCCTGTCGTCAGCTGACTACCGTCTTCAGGCAGAAGTGGTTAACTGGGCCTGAAACGGTCGTGGCAAGCTTTTGGCCACCTCCCTTCAAACCATCGGCAAATTAAGTTTACAGACCTTGCTATGCCGTCAATAAAGTTGTTTCTCTCACTCTCTCCCTCTCTGTTTGAGCATTCTACAGCAGTTCAAACACGCTGGTGATGTTATCTTATGCGCCTTCCAGGCAATAGAGATGGGCCAGCTCATTTGATCTGAGCTTCAGCAGCGCTCGTGCGCCTTAACAGTCTCGAGAAAAGTTGTGATGCGTGTGGGCATGTTATCAATTTAAACTTGTTACGGAACATGGCAGAGAGAGCAAAAACCTGCCAGGAGTGTCCATACAATTGCTATCGCAATAATAATGCAGTTTTTTTTACCACCAAATAAGTGTTTTGGGTTAGCTCTGCCTTCAGTCCCCTTTTTTGTTTGATTTGCATGTTTATTTTCATACTGAACCTCCATACCACCAAATCATCTTCATTACAAATTTTTCCAGGAATTTATCGATTTCGTTATATTCGGGTGCAACTGTATTGAGCGCCTTGAAATTACATGAATTTGACAAGTTGGTAAACAGTGCATCACAATTTGAGCCTCAAGAGGACATGATGAGATACACAAATGAAATTCTAACATCTATCGCAACGGCACCAATGCTAGATGTAACAGGACAAGCATTAACCTCACAAAAGATGTCTCGGTGCAGTCATTTTTTCTCTGCTGTATTTACTGAGAGGGCTTTTTTAGTCATCAGTCTAACTGTTAGCCTAAGCGCTTTTTTTTAATCTGTCCTTTTGCATACCATACATTATCACATTCTCCGTTTAGTTTTTTTCTCCCACTATTCACTGCAATGCGAGTTTTCCTGCAGTCTCACTTTTCCGTCCCATCTGTTGCATTTCACTTTACCAGGTATGCATTTTTGTGCCTATGCTTTTGCTGCTCGTTTCTATCACAGAAGGGTGACTTGAAGGGCAAGTTTGTACACGATACTGAGGGGGGAACAGTGCAAAAAACAAAACGAACAAAGACTGACCACTGATAATTCTTTCTTTGTCCCCTTTTTGATGCCGTTTTCCTCTCAGTACTATTCTATCGATCTATATGCTAACACATCTTCAATTGTTTCAATGCGTCTTGAACATATTCAAATGTTTCAATGCGTCTTGAAGTGTCATAGTACATACAATAATTGCAGGTTGTATCTTGTATCTCTCCCTCAAATACTTGTTGCCGAAGAATCATTTATCATATCGCACCATATCACAATACAATTACCAAGTATGCTTGCCCAGCCCTGTGCAGCGAAACTGACGTTGTACTGATTACATTAGCACTGACCTACTACTAGCTTTCTAAAAAAATGTCACGCGACAAGTTGGTTTTACTTTTCAGTGTTTTCGTCTCTTCGCAAGTATCTGAGCACTCACTTGACGCTGTAGCGCTCCCGAAACATGATGTGGTTTCGGTACGTCCTGTTGACATCCAAGTCAATCTGTCGGATGTCTGGGGACCACATGCGTGCACGCTCTCGCATCTCCTGCAAATGTGGAGCACACGGGTAGTGAGTCAAATGTCACATTAAAAATGCAAAGGGAGCACACGTGCTTTTTCTGGGCAAACTGATGGGCTGAAGTTTTGAACAACACTTTTTCAATTTCATGGTGCCAGCAGACTAACCATGTAAAGCTGCACTAACTCAGTTAGACATCGTTGATATTCTTATGTTTGAAGTAAGGTTGCAGGGGTTTATTAAGAAAAGAAGGCTCGGATGGTGAGACCGCACGGGACAAAGCTGCCGAGAGACCTTCTTTCTATGCCCACACTTCTAATCCCTCTTCTCAGTCCGGCACATACACGCCGTAATAATATGTACCAGTTTTAAGTGCACTAAATGTTAAAATCTAAGGGGAGATGCTGCTCTTATAATACATTTATTTTAGTTTTCTTGACTGTTGTAGCTGTAACTTTTTGCGGATATGTTTGCGTGCGGATTTCAAACATAGTCATTTTTATTGCAGAGAATGCAGTTTTTCAAATGTAAGCATTTTAATGTGCTTTTTTGGGAGCAAAATTTTGTCTAAGCTGAGACCATACATGTGAACATGGCATAAGCGCACTAAACGCGTTCATTGATCACTGTAACAAGTTTCACTCTAGTATTAAATTTACCATGCACGATTCTTCCAATGAAATTGACTTCCTAGACACGACAGTATCTATTGAAGCAAGAAAATTAAAGGCGACGCTTCACAGAAAACCGACATACAGCCTACAATACCTAGATTACACTAGTCACCACCTGCGAAACTGCAAACAGGGAATTTTCGTTGGACAAGCGAGGCGTATAAGAAGGATCTGTAGCGACGAGGGTGGATACATTCACCACTTGAGTAACCTAAAGGAAACATTAGTTGAAAGAAACTACCCGCAAAACAACTTAAACAAGGTCTACAATGAAGCATAAACTAAGACAAGAAAACAATACTAGCAAAAGAAAAAAAAACCCTACCTGTCGCACAACAAAACCAGTCTCCAGCATTTATAACCAAACAACTGAATGAGCTTCCAAACATATAAAATATCCTTCATAAGTATTATCCAATACTGGCAAGCAACGAGCGCCTTAGAAAAGTGTTTGCCAAAGTACCAAAGGTCATGCATCGCCGCAAGGGGAAATTTGATTTGATTGATTGATATGTGGGGTTTAACGTCACAAAACCACTATATGATTATGAGAGACGCCGTAGTGGAGGGCTCCGAAAATTTAGACCACCTGGGGTTCTTTAACGTGCACCCAAATCTGAGCACACGGGCCTACAACATTGCAAGGGGAAATTTAAGACATGTTAGTGCAAACAAAGGTACACTCTCATTCTACTGCCCAAATAAGACCTTGCTCTTGTCCGAGATGCAGGAATTGTGAATACCTTCAAGATGACATGAAAGTGAAAGGTACCAGAAGTGCATCATATAAAATCTAGTTTTACCTGCACTAGTGAAAACGCTATCTACGTAATTGAATGCTCATAATCTCATAAACAGTACATTGCGAAACAGGGCCGCCTGTTAATGTTAGATTAAACGGCCATAGCACTGAGCACGGCAGAGGAATGAGTGGCACAGGATTTTGATGTAGCAGGACACAACTTCGACTAACTCAAACTCTATATACTTCAATGAAACTTCTGGTCCTCAAGAGCCAGAAAATATACAGAATTATACTTTATTCCCAAGTTCAAGACACTCTAGGCAGTAGATATAAACATTTCTAAAGGAACTCTAGAATAGATTGGTTACATAGTAGATACACAAAGAAAACCAGTGCAAGTTAAGCCCTCTGTCTAGGAATTTCAAACCTGCCATTGTTAACTTCGGCGGCGGTGCACTAAGGAGTAGCGCCTAAACTTTGCCTCTGCTTTTTGCAGGTGAGCAGTAAATTTCTTATTAAGCCAATAATACATAAACTGTGCACTGCTGCCAAACTTGTCAGTTTCCGTTTTTTGTGAACTTGTTTGATTGTTCGTAAGGATTTCTTGTGTTTTGTAATGTCTAAGGAGGCTAAGGCCTTTGAGAATTTGAGACGGCAACTCAAAGCAGACTTGAGAAGTATAAAAGAAGAGTTACAAGAAGTGGCTGAGCTGAAAGTAGAAATACAGCAGGTTCTAAAAATAAACCAAGATCTTCGTGCCGAGAATGCTAAGCTTTCATGTAGAATTGAGGAACTAGAACAATACCAAGGTGCCAACAACATTGAAACAAAGGGAATCCCACTTGATGGCGAACCTCTATACATAGTGTCGCAAAGGGGAGGTGGGGGGGTTGATTAAAAAAATCACAGCATATCCACGGGGTGAATGATGATGAGTGAGCGAAGCTCCTTAGGGGGAAATCATCTGTAAAACCGTGGCTCTTCAGTGAAAGTTCGCCCACTACATCATCAAGAAAGACGTGAGAAACACTGTGTGTATATATACTCGTGCTGCAGCACGGCGATGGCATTGGCGCGAAACTGGTCGTTCTTGATGGAAGATATTGTGACTAGACTGTATGAGAACCACAATCTGCCGCACACACTGCAACTGTGTCCGAACGTAATTTCTAGAAAGTTTCGCTTAAAGCGCGCGTCAGCACCTGCGGGCTGAGCTCGCCTGATGCATTTTGCAGACGCCTCACGAGCTCTCACTGCATCGGGGTCTGCCTGCCGATACGCGCGCTTTCTCGCTGCTTCCCGTTCTCTGGCGTTTTGGAGATCCTCTTCGCGCCGCAGCCCTGCCGCTTCGTGTATTCGCATACGACAAGGTCCTCGCGCCGTTTCCATGACGCTTGGGCCTCTCGTTCTCGAACGCTGGGATCTTGGAGGCGGCGTCACGCAGCCAGACGACACGCTTCGGCCTCACGCTCTCGCGGCAGAATCTTGGCGATGGCGTCGCGCAGCTTCACGGAGCGCTTCTGCCTGGCGGGCTCGCACATCGGGATTCTGTCTGCGAGCACGTGCTGCCGCCGCCTTGCGCGCTCGACACTCTGCGGCCTTATCCATCGGGCAACTCCGAGCGCGCGCCAACAGCGAACAGATTCTATTATAACTAGAGGTGGCCTTATCCATCCCGCAACTCCAAGTGTGCGCCATCAGCCATCAGCATATGGATTCTATTACAAACTAGAGGTCGCTACATACATACGCCGAGGATAGACAGACCCACGCCTTAAGGAGCTCCGCCCCTAAAAAGAAGTCTCGGAGGCTGATATTGACATCTGCCGCCGTGTGCCTACTGCTAGACATGACCAGTCAAACATAATTGTTCATTTTGTTCGCAGAACCAAGAGGAGTGCCTTTCTCAGCAAAGCTAAGAAAGCAAAAATAGACACGACAGCACTGGGATTTAAACAATCATCGAGGTGTTCGTCAACGGACACCTTACTCGGTACAGTAAACGACTTCTTGGTGCGATCGTAGAAAAGAAAAAGGAACTGAAATGGCGGTTCGTGTGGACAGCTGGCGGCAAAGTGTTCATACTGAAAGGACAAAAACTACCCGGTAGTTAGAAGTGCCAGCTTGGAAGACTTTGAAAAAATGGAGGCATGAGCATTACGTTGTATCTTTATTAAACTTAGCTTCATCAAATGGAGAGTGCATATTACGATATTCCATCGTTGAATAAATTAGTTCCTAATAGCAATCTACTTGAACTTTTCTGCCTTAATGTGTGGATTATTAAAAACAGAGGACAAACTGAATTGCCTGTACAAGTCAATAACGCACAATTTTCACATCTTATTGTACTGTGAAACATGGCTCACTATGAATGAAGACCCCCCATATCGTGAAACATGAATACCACGGTCTAGTAAGAACAAACAGCAGAGGTGGGGGTGTAGCAGTCTATGTTAAGCAATGCCTTGCTCATGAGCTAGTTCAAGAATGTTCTTATGTAACGAGGGATGTAGAGAGCATAATGATACCCTTAGAGCATGTCACAATTGTGCTTATATATCGGCCTCCATTAGGAAACAACCTCACCTTTTTCAATTTCTTAGAACAACTTTTGAATTTCCTCAGCCATTCGTCTTGCCCCTTTGTCATATTGAGTGACGCAAACATAAATATGCTGGCTTATGACATATCATTTAAACAGCTTTCTGGTTTAATTAATTCATTCATGCACGCAAATGTAAGTACGGAACCTACCAGGCTCACTGTACAAACGTGTACCCTGCTTGATATATGTATATCTAACATTCACCCAACTGACTATGTTGCTGGATAGCTATCTGCTGAGATAAGTGATCCTCTGCCTATATTCTGCTTCATTCCTTATGTTCGTAAGCTAAGAGAAGGGAGAAAGGAAATACTGTCTTGTAGTTTTCATGCCATAGCATTGGAAACTTTCCGTTTTTTGATACTGTCAACAGATTGGTCATGTGTGTTTGAAAAGCAAGACCCAAATGCTGCGTACGATTTGTTTTTTGAAAAAATGATCCACTGTTATGACCAAGCATTTTTGCTACAACCACGCAACCGAAAGAACAGGAAGATACACAAACCTTAGATAAATACCCACTTGTTAGAAATGATAACGACAAAAAACTAATTGCATCACAAGTTTGTAAAATGCAGAAGTGCTGATCTGTTTAGTGACTTTAGGAAATTCAGAAATAGGGTGAATACTGAACTGAAGCAGGTGAAAATTAGGTATTACACACAATTATTTGATAAGATAAAGAATGATCCTAGAAAAGTCTGGAATGAAGTCGGAGAGCTCAATGCCATGAAGACAAAGAGCACTGACATCAGCATAACAACACCCACTGGAGTGTTGACAGGTACGGAGGCAGTAGCCGCTTTAAATAAATATTATGTTTCTAGCGCGCAGTATCCTAATAAGGAAGAACATATGACCACACCTATCCTGAACAGTACCCGTCTCTCTAACTCAATTATACTTATGCCTGTTACAGCTGCTGAAGTTACTCAACTACTCCTTAAAGTGAAAAACAATGCATCTGCTGGTCATGATGGCGTTAAACCAGCACCAATTAAATATATTGTGGATATTATCGCACCCATTTTAGTTCATATCATAAACACGATGTTCGGAAGTGGTATATTTCCCGATCTACTAAAAATAGCAGGAGTGTGCCCAATCTACAAAGGAGGGGATGAACATCTTATGGCAAATTACCGGCCCATTTCTGTTTTACCTGTCTTATCAAAAGTCTTTGAGAGTGCCTTGAATGTTACACTACAGAAATTCTTTCTGTAAGTACAATGTAATCAGTGACATGCAGTACGGTTTTCAGAAAAAGAAATCTTGTGAAGAAGCTGTTCTTAATATGAAACATGCAATTAATATCAAATATTGAAAATCGAATGTATACATTAGGTCTATTTGTTGATCTCGGAAAAGCATTTGACTCTGCTTGCCACAACTTATTAATTGATAAACTTGAAAAGTGTGGTATATGGGGTAATGCACTCAAACTATTGCATAATTACCTAACAAAGCGATATCAGTATGTCAGCATAAATATAGATGTTTCGTCTTACGCGGAAATCATTACGGGTGTCCCACAAGGTACAATACTTGGACCTCTGATGTTCATCATATATATCAATGACTTGTGTGATATCCCCGAGTCACCACAATTAGTTTTGTACGCAGACGATACTTAACATTTTCTTTAAAGCAGCCACTATACCAGATCTCGAGACAAAGCTGAAATACTATATGAAGCGACTCTCTTCATGATTACGACAGAACTAATTACAAATGAACACTTCTAAAACAAAATACATGATATTTGCCCCAACTAATAAACCACGAAACTGCAAGGCGACTATTGTTTTTGATGACAGAATAATCGAGAAGGTTAAATGTAAAAAATTTCTAGGAGTGTGGTGTCAGGAAGATCTGGCCTGGAACACACATGTAGACAAAACTTTAACAGAATTAAGTAAAACTGTTGGCTGCTTATACAGATTGAATACTTTGGTTCCTTCTTGGCTGGAAATTTCGTTGTATTACGCACTATTTTACTCCCGACTAACTTGATGCATATTAATGTGGGGCACAACCACACAAAAAAAAATTATAAGAAGCTAATTGTGCTGCAAAAATGAGTCCTACGGGCATTTGAGGGTTATCGTGGACCTTTACAGAATTTTAGAACACAGCCTCTTTTTATCAAGTACTCTATGTTAAAGGCAAATCAGGTGTACTATTACAAGTTAATGCAACATATCAAGCAAAACACGACACACTATATCACGGATGCACCCACCAACCCGTGTTACAGCTTTAGGCAACACTATCTGAAAACACCAAAAATAAGAACAAATTATGGCAAACAGTTACAAAGTTACCAAGCACCTTCACTACTCAGTAGAATACATGAATTTCACAACAAAGTTATGGAAGCGCCAAGTAAATCATTTAAAACATTGCTCATTTCACAAAATACTGAATTTGTCTGACAAAGCTGCTGTATGTATTTTCAATTGCCGTGTCTGAATTGCAAATTTCAGTTGTTGACTTGGGCAAAATGACCTATCAGTGTATTATGTAATATTTTTTTGTAGTTTCTTTACAGACAATGTGCTTATTCTTGCTTTTTCATTTTTTTGTACACATGTTCTTTTAATTTCGTGACTATTCAGAGCGATATGTCTGTACAGTATACTTTGTATTGACTTGCGCTATGTATGGCCTGCGTGCCAAACTGTCGTACGAGCAGAAGCCTTTGTCAGGCCACATAGCCTTTAGCTTCTGCTTCCTTTCTGTTATAAACAGAAGAAATAAAGTCAATTCAATTCAATTTCTGCCAACTGGTTCACAACATGAGTATCTTCACCTCCCTAACGCTTCCTTATTTTCTTTTATTGCGATAGCAATTACATGGACACTCTTGGTTGGACTTTGCCGCCTGCGTCCGCTTCGACGGGGGCGTCGCCGTCACTCACCGTATATGTATACGCATCTATATATATGAAAACTCAAGAAAGAGAAAAATCCAGAAAAAGACCCTGGCACGCAGAATCAAACTTGGGACTTCTGAAACGTGCGTGCGAGGCGTTAACCACTGAGTCACGGAAGAGCACGTCCCTCAATGTTTAAACGGCAGGCTATTTATATTTACCACTTACCGCTGGTGAAAGGCATCTATGGGGGGAGAGGGGGGGCAACTATGATTGATTGATTGATTTGTGTGGTTTAACGTCCCAAAACCACCATATGATTATGAGAGACGCCAAGTGGAGGGCTCCGGAAATTTTGACCACCTGGGGTTCTTTAACGTGCACCCAAATCTGAGCACACGGGCCTACAACATTTCCGCCTCCATCGGAAATGCAGCCGGGATTTGAACCAGCGACCTGCGGGTCAGCAGCCGAGTACCTTAGCCACTAGACCACCGCAGCGGGGCAGGGGGGGGGGGCAACTATCGTGTTTTTAGCATTACCAGCAAGATGGTGCAATCAGCGCGCGTCACTACATTGTCCCGATGCAGCAGCGCGCGCTATCATTTCCCAGGTGTACTTTGCCCCACGAAGTGGAGGAGGTGGACGCCAAGTCGTGTGCCATTATCTAGCGGTGGGGAGGATCATACGTCTTGGCTGGCCATTGGCTTACACTGGAACAATTATGTTGTAGTTACCGGCCGCACAAATGTCACTGCAATCCTTGCAGTCTTAGTTTGCGAAAAGAGCTCACTTTTCAGACACAGCGAATCAACTGAGACCCTTATTCGCGTTCATCTGTACCTGTGAGTACCCTTCATCTGTTAATTGTGTGTGAGAAACACGGGGCACATTTCGATCTGCTTGCCATTTTCCACATGACCTTCTAATTTGTTGCTACTGCATTCATTGCTTCGCCTTTGCGGCAAAGCTGAGACTGTTATTCCTGTTCCTGCTTTGCTCATACAAGTGGCCCCTCCCCCTCTTTTGTTAGAATGCAGCAGAAGGTACGAAGCGTAGACATGCTAGCGCCAAAGAAATCGGATCTGTTCTAGCCTTGAGGAAGACAAGTTCGCTTGTCAAAACATTGGCTCAACACAACCCTTGTTTACAAATTTTTCTTCGCAAGCTTCCATGTTCCCCTAGCTGCCATATTTAAGAAGTAAATTAGCATGACATTTAATGACAAATGCATGCAGTAGAACAATAGACATTCTAAATCCATTTGTACAAAAGTTGTCACACGAACATGCTTAAGTGTCGCAAACATCCAGGAGTTTAACACTCACGAATGAACATTCGCGAGTTGAATGCTCACGAGTTCAACGCTCACGAATGAAATTTCCCCCACTAATGTTTCAAAGCTCTCTTGGTCAAATCGACCCAGTAAAAGCAGTTTTCTTACCAAATACTTGCCCTCCTGCTCAGCCTTGATGCGAGCCACGTCGAGTAGCCGAAGCCAGACTTCAGCTCGAACTGCGTTGGGTATACCCTTAAAGACTCTTCGCCGCAACTGCAGAAATGTGTAGGCAGCGATGTATAAGCCACAGCATGACAGCACAGAGAGAATGGCCAGTGATTGCCTTTGCACTAAGCTTGAATGAGTAGGCCTGCGGTTCAAGTATTCACACAAATACTACAGTTCTTGAATTCACTTTGATAAGATTTAAAAACTTTCGAAACTTTTAATTGTTCGTAAGAATGAATACATCAACTACATGTAATCCATCTGAGGAGGTGGTTTGACAGCATTGTGGTGTTGCTAAGCCATGAAACCACCTAATATGCAAAATCTGCAGTAACGCGAACCCACACTTCAAGGTAAATAGTTCATAGTTCCTGCACACAGTGGCATCGCCAGGGGTTGCATAACGAGACTGTGTCCCTCCTGGAGCTTTTTATGTCATGGCATACAGAGCAGAAAATGTCATTCAGCCACTTCTAAACTTTTGAGATAAAAAATGCTGCCAAAAACAGCATGGCAGTTATGAAAAAAAAAGGGGCCAGGAGCATCTGTTAGGCAATGCTATGTCCCAGAAATTCTGGTGTTCCCAAGGGATCAAACGAAAAACCGTTTCGTTATTAGTAGAATCTAGATGATACGAATTCATATGGAGCACACGAAATATTTGTATCATCCTGAATTCGTATGAACTAAAGCTAGCTGAAACTGATGATTGAAATAAACGAAAGCTCTATTGGGGTCAACTACTTCTTACTGAAAAAGTCCATGGCCTGTTTTTCAACTTTTCTGCCTTCGCTGTCTCTTAAGAAAGCCACATGAAAGGAATAAAACTGCTGCGGTTTCCTCACTCACGCTGCTGGCACTTTGAGGTGCGTTCATACTTGGCCTATAAGGGAGGCTGCAAAACTCACTAAATTCACTCGATTTGCTGCCTAAGCTGCTGGAAAAACTGCACCGCAAAGTTGACAGAAAAAAAAAAAATTGCGATAAAGCATTTACACTTGAGAAGCGAAGCAAAAAAAAAAAAAACGACAGAGCCGCAGGGAAAACACATCCACGTACGTCATAAATGTTCACATTCGTTTTGCCCCTCGTACATGCCCTCCCCACTCCCATCCTCACCACTTTGTAAATTTATTCCACTTCGCCCATTTACTGAGCATTAAAATTCCTACCAAGCTCAAGTTGTGCACGCAACGCACTAAAAAGAAACAGTTCACACCTTAAACGCTGTTACGGGAGGTATGCGAGCAGAAATGACACGAGCGGACATACCTGCAGCAGCGGTGGATTCAGCCCTTACGCGAGACACGGCATGCCCCTACGTGAGACATGTAGGGGCATGCCGACTTGCTGCTGCTGTACTTTCTACTTACAATGTTCTAGGGGATTTTAATTCAAACCAGGCTCTCAATAAATGCATCCTCGTCGAGGCTGTGAGCTTGGTGTGAGCTTGGTCGCGCTGCATGAGTAGTTTGCAATTGCCTCGACGATGCGAGGCGCTGCTGACACCTTTGCTAAAACATTGAATTTGTGGCATTTTGTTCCAAAATTAAATCACATGGTTTGGGCTAGTGCAGCCAAAACCGAGCGGGAAGGTGATTTGACTTGCGTGGTAGGAAAAATCGGTCTCCGCCTGATATTTTTCACGTCGGCTTTGCGACGTGGTTTTCCGGCCACTTAGGCGGCAAAGCAAGGGAAATTCCGGTGAGCTTTCCTGCATTCATTCCCTTTGAGGCCAAGTGTGAACGGGCCTTCTAAAGACAAGCCTTTTCGCTTGTGTGCAGTGGTTAATTGCATGTTTGTATGATCCGTGGTGGCTGGGGGAACTGTTCATATAACACCAAATCATAGCACAATTTATGTAACATAGTTAGTCTGAGCATACCTTGAAATTCATATGAAATTCAGATCAACTGTAATTGTATCATCAAAATTCTATAATCAATATGACAGGCAAGATAATTTATCGAGCTTAGGTGAAAAAAGCGAGTGGACACAAGCATTAGTAGAATGGAATGCTTGCATGATTGACAGAGCGCTACTGATGAAGAAATAATACAGGTTTTGTGATTGCACTCTGGCGGATGAAAGCCATTGTCGTTCCATGTGGCGAGATACGATGTAGTGAGTGGGTGTGTTTAAATCTGTCACATTGAAAGCGCCAGCTCCCATCCCAATCTCAGTGGAATCTGTGCTTGTTTTTCATGCTTTTAATTAGTATAACCTACTGGCTAGAATATTTTGAAATGGTGTTAAGAGCGTATCGAAGAATTGGGAAACGACAAGACAATAGAAGCAAAGAGCGCCGACTTCCAACTAGTTTTTTATTTCGATAAGTCGCACCCTCACTATGCGATGCAAGGGTCAGGGTGCGACACCTAAAAAAAAAAATAAGACAAAGAAACAGAAAAGGATGTATCAGCGCCAAATGCAACTCGAACAGCGGCAAGCCTTTGCGATGGTTCAGTGCATGCCATGTGGCTATCACGATTGACAGCCGCGCGCGTCCTGTTTGGCAGCTCTGCGCATCATTTGACGCAGATAGTACATGTGCGACGAGCATTGCTTCATCATTTCACTTCGAGCATATCACCACATGCGTCCTAAAACCCAGCCAGGTAATACCAATTTCTTGATTTAAAGTGCAATAGATGGTGTGCTAATGCACTTATCGACTAGCTTGCTGTTGAATTATGGAAAAGGTGCGCACATGGACAGGTGCAAGAGTGCAGACAGAGTGCAGGCGTACCTTAGTGGTGTACTTGGTGCTCTTGGTTCGCTCCTGCTGGACAATCAGCCATTTTTGTTTAGAGAAGCAGAGGAAGAAGGCAATGCACACCACAGTGAGAAGTTAGCAGGAGAGAGGGAAATTAGTAGGAAAGACACACTGGTAAAACTGTAAGAATAAATAAGAAATCTTTTATTGCTGGTATTTAGTAGCACAGATCCTACACTTAGGCAACCTAACTGCATATTCACACAATAGTAATTGTTATCTTTACTTAAGTCTTGCATGTAGCAGTAAAACTTTGGTTGGGCCTACTTGATACATAGCATTCAAAATGAAAACTTGAGCGCCAACCAAGATGGCCCAAAAAGAATAGAAGAGACAAGCACTGGCACCAGTTTTCATCTCTCCTATTCTTAGTGGTCCATCTTGGCTTGCACTGAAGCCTTAATTGCACATAGCAACTTCTTTCATCTATGTAATAGTTGTCCTAGCTTTGCATCGTACACACTATTTGATCATATTACTTTGTGAGCCCTCCTAGCTGTGATTATTTCAAATCGACCCGCATGGAACTTCTCTGTGTCAACAGTGCGTAATGGCAACACTCAGCCAGCTTGTTACAGTAACTATACAAAGGAATTATTGCACAGCATTTGATCCTCAGGTTTCTTCAATTGTAATTAGAATCACCGAGTCCAGCACATATCTTAGGCAACGTTCGACATTTCATTGGAGGGCAGGAGTCTTTGTTAGGGCTCATATTGCGTCTCTCATAATCATATAGTGGTTTTGGGACGTTAAACCCACATATCAATCAATGGTTCATATTGCTCGATTAGGGATTCTGCAATTTGGGAAGCGACACCCCTGCCCTGACACCCCTCCCCTGCAACATTTTCTGAGCATAGTCGGACTTTGCTAGTCTTGCCAGAACTGTGTTCTCACGAGTGGGCACACGAACTTGCCTTCTCGTTCGGGTAGTACTTGTCCCAACTCTCGAGCATCTTGCGCCACTTGTTGAGACGCACATTCTCCTGGTCACGAACCTGCACAATGGACGACTGCTGGTCAGTGCAGCCCTCACAGTCAGGAGTTTCCACAGAGTAATAAACGCCGGTATCGTATCTGTTTGCACAAAATCCATACCGCACGAGAAAGCACAAGATACAAGTTGAACAAGATCCTAGCACATTGCAGTGAAACCAAAATGCCATTACCGTATTTACTCGCGTAATCCTCGCACTCGCATAATTCTCGCACCCCCCACATCACCCAAGAAAAAATACGATTTTTTTTCCTCGAGTAATTATCGCACCCCCGAAAACTGCCGCAATAATGTCTGCTCGTTCCAGCCATTAATGATGATAGCGCCCACCATCTGGCGCCATCTCTTAAGTATCAAGCATACGGAGATTCAATCCAAGCCGAAGTGGCCAGTGCACGTTGCGGCGTGTTATGTATGTTGTGTCGGTAATCTTGGCACGTTATGGGGTGATACTGAAGCCACACAGCTGCTTCAAGTTGCAAATGATAGATCATGCGCTAAACAACGGCAACAGGGCCTCCGGTAGGCCCTTCGGAGCCTACGAGTTTTGTGTTCGCTACTGATGATGGCAGCTGAAATCCACCAAGACGCGTTGGGCCTGCCGTGTGCCTAAAACTGGGATTGATGATAAACTTTATTTCTTCAGAAGGAAACTGCAGACGATTCTGTTAAATAGCCATCAGCCCAATACTGACGTCCTACGCTTACCTTTTGAAGGCTCCTGTTGAGCGCCGACCGCTACCGCTACGCCCGCAACGCCCACAAGCTTCGCGTATGGTATTCTAATTCTCGACTATTTGCTTCCACTTTTTGTGTCTCAAATAAATCTTGCCTTGTGTTGAACCGCTGCTTTTATTGTTGAGGTAAGTTCTAATTAGTACTTCTTAAAGCTTGCTGTGAGTTGCTGGTGTGAGAATCCCGATTTGCGGCCTCTTCGTTTTCTTTTTCGCTTTCTGCGTTTTCGTGGAAAGTTTTCCTCGCGTAATTCTCGCACCCCCCAACTTTGCATCGATTTTCTGGCAAAAAGAGTGCGAGGATTATGCGAGTAAATACGGTATAACCTACGTCTCAATACAGCATCAGATATGGCATGATGCAGCATCAAACAGACTGCCTTGCTCGGCCCCCAAACTATTGAGATAACCTCAAAGAGGGTAAATCAACACTTCAGACAGGCTCAGTTTTATATGTATTGTTACTTGAAGATGTTCAATAATTTCATTAAAAAAGTACATGGGAATACTTGCTGGCCATCGCACTGCTTAATTAGCAAATACACAAAAAAGGAAGTTTTCGAATAGGTACCAAAGAAATAGAGTTAAGGTCACTGCGCATGTGCAAAACCCAAACTGCGTTTGGATTTTGGGTTGGGAACCCTATTTCTCGAATTTATCGGAAGTTCCAAAGCCTGCCTCAAAAGTTTTGGGTCAGACAAACGCGATGGCACCCACTGAAGTGATGGCTCTCTACCAAGATTAGAGCGACATAGAATAGGGAGTGTCCAAAGCGCCGCAGACGCTATTCGAAAACTCATCGCTCCTGCTGGACCCAAAGCGTCGATATGCAAGAAGCTTCGGGGCCACTATTCAAAACCCCCTAATGTTTCTTTCCAAGCTTGTAGTTTGAAAAAAAATGATACAAATAACATTGAGGACGGCAAAATGAGAACAGACAAGACTTGCAGATATCTAAGCTGACATCGAGCAGAAAAAAAATAAGGGACCTTGGCTGGTCATACAATGCATAGAATGAACAACTGGCGGACATTAAGAGCAAGCAACCGAATGGATGGGAAGGCAGAGAGTTAGATGGAGTGACGAAATTTGGAAGCTCACAGCAATAAAATGAAACTAGCTCGCACAAGATACTATCGGCTGCATTGGAGATTGTGCAGTGAACTAACAGGCTGAGAATGACGATTCCTTCTGAATTGGCTGGTAGGTAGCGGTGAATATAACACATGCACTCTCCATTTTATACTTTGCAGGCAATTTCGTCAAAGCTACCACAGTACACTCAGTGTGGCCCTAAATTATCAATCTGCACATTTTTTATGCTTTTTGTCAGCATGTACCTAAAAATTTTCTATAACACAACTACCTCTATAGGAGAGATTCCCCTACAGCTATTTATTGTACAAAGTTAGAAACAATTTTCTAGAAAGAAAGCTGCTATTTTTATCAAAAACTTTTACTGGTCTGGAATTCAAACCATGGACCTTTTCTATCTCACTTTATGATCACTCTATGGTCTGCTAGAATATTGCAGTGAAGCATGAATCAATATGATGACTTGTAATCGTATTCGTAGAGCAAAAAACCAGATGCAGACACAAGTAAGATCACAGGAATTCAAATACAACTTTCAGTGCGAAACAAATCGAATATCTTTCAAATATTTCTGAAACATTTCTGAATTTTTTTTTATACTCCGAAGTGAAACTACAGAAAATAAATGTTTGACAGAATTTCTAAGCATATCCTTTTTAAATAGCAACATGAAAGTGTTTTTTTTTAGCTAGGTTGACAAAGTGCCGACGGGATAGTGTTTCATAGAGGATGAGGCAATTCAAAAGTCTAATTGTATTTATGTGCATTATTTGGTGCAAAAAAAGTATTCACTTAGACTAGACCTCTGCCAAAGCTGTCATCCTCCACATTGGCGCAAGCATTTTTTAAAGTCGATACATTTGCGACTGAAGCAGAATCTGAAAGGCAGCTTTGCCGCAATAACAAAGTGTGACAGGGTGAAGCATATTAAAAATTTGAAGGGGCCACTGTCAATTGAACGTTGACTGTAGTTGCCTTCGGGAAATTCCAATACAATAGTTAAAATCTTGTGAATATGGAATCAAATAGTAAACACTATTCCAAAAATTTTCGAAAACTTCAATATTTGCACACCCCTAACAATAGCCTGAGACACTAACATGGTGAGTACAGAAAGTTCAAAAAGCTGAAAAATGACCGACTAATTTTACATCAAGCAAGAAGTAATCTAAGTAATCTGTATGGATTTATTCTGTAGCTTTATGCAACAAACTCCCAGAAGTATTCTGCCAAACTTATTTTCAGGGTAACCAGCAAGTATGTACCTGTACCCTATTTAATTTTTTATGTGTATAGCCTAGATGAAATATGCAGAAAATTGAAAATTAGCGTTTGGATGGCGGTTGCAGTGAGCTAATTTCAGTGCATAAGTTGACATTGCGGTATGACAAGAAAGGCAGTTTTATGGCAATATGTTGAAATCTTTCCCTCCCCCTCCCCAGTTTCCAGTTAGCAATCTGGTTATACGCAGGGGCGTAGTACATTAAAAAAAATGTGCTACTAATTTCAAGCGAAAGCTTTGGACATAGGATATTCTAAAATTCCCTTCTGCTTGTACACATTGTCTTTAGAGAATGCCTGTTCTTGTCACTAATGCAAAAGAGCACAATGAGCCCTGGTCGCAGAAATGTGCTGCCTCAGCGACTTCGAGTACGAGGATCAATTTCACGCCAACTCGCACTACACATGCCGAACCTTCATTCAATATCCCACAATGTTATGCTTGAAAACACTAGCAGTGGGGCCAGTCTCTGTCATCGTCAGCATCATCTGCTGCCGCATATGAAATACAGTCCCATGTTTCCCAATCACCAAGAGCGCTGCGAGATGTTGTATGCACAGAGTCTCTTAATTTAACTAGATGACTGTGGCACAGCAATATTTCAACAATATGGAAATGATTGGTAGTATGCAAATTTGCTTACTCTACATGCTTGCGGGCTTCGGACGCACCTGTGGCTTTATTTATTGTTTCGTTTTGGTTTCGTTTTGAATAAAAACACACCCTTGTGAACTTCATGAGCACATTTGAATCGGTGATTGGAATTCAGGCCACACAGAGCCAAACGAAGCCAAAAGAACGCACATTTGTCAAATCCGTGCACTACCCATCCCATGACTACCATAGCGCCAGAGTTCCCTATAGTGCACTTAACTTAGCTGGTATTAGCACGGCACATATTAAAATAAAAGGGAAAAGACGACAGAGACGTCTAGAAAGGTAGGCGCTAAACTTCCAACTGTTTATTTCATGCCCTTTCCATCCATCTTAAAAACACAGCACACCTTGCACGTGGTGTCATTCCAAGAAACGTCATTTCTTTATCTGTCAGTGCAAATGATGGTGAAATCGCACACAAGTTTTCCATTTCTGCTATAGCTCAAGCTTCTTTAATTTCAAGTGTCAGTTGATTACAAGACCAGCTGTAAGGATCGGGGAGCACCCACAACCTTTGCAGTGCACTGCTAGCAAAAATCCTCCTGCTGAAAGTATTTCTTGCATTGTAATCATGTTCCCGTAGTCTATCATCAAGAAACCACTTGGTCAGCCCTATATAATACTTTCTGCATGATACCGAGAACATGTACACAATGCAGCACACACAATGACATGGTTGAGTTTAACATTATTATCAGATTGTTTGCTAATGACTGTGTTCTGTATAAAAAAAGTGACATTCCAACAAGATCAGGTTGATTTAAGTCTTGCAGTAACACATGTTAGTGAGTGGCGTACTCCATCGTCAATGACATCAAGCCCTGACAAAACAATACGCTTGCGTGTGACAAAAAAAGAAACAGCCATATCACGTCCAAGGAACACCAGTACGGGAAGTAAATGAATATAAATACCTAGGAGTAACCATTACAAGCACACTTTTTTGGTCCACACATATAACAGATGTCTGTGCATCAGCTCCTTGTAAGCTTGGTTTTCTGAGGCACATATTGAAAAAAGCCCCTCGGAAATCAAAAATGCCCACGTACGAAGCGCATATTTTTGGGAACCTTTTTACAAAAAAGATATTCAAAAACTTGAAATAGGTTCAAAGACGCACTGTACATTGTATTTTTTTGAAGTTTAAATCAACTGATTCTTTCACAAAATTAATGCAAGGCAACGACATCCCTGTACTTGAAGAACGCCGCAGAATAGCATGCCTGAAATTTT